CCCCCCCATTTTTCCAGTCCATGTCTCTTTCTCCCTCCGTAAATTCCCGAATGAACTACGCATCCCGATTAAAGTACGCACCCCCGATTTGGGGCTGGTGGGAGACAAATATTCCCGTCTGAAACGTAAAATGGAAAAACTCGAATTAAGTACGCACCCCTCCTACGCACGGCCGGTACCACAGTGAACATGTAGTATGTATGTGTTAAAGACAGTTCGTCGTTCCAAACAAATTTAAAATTGTTAAAAACTAGATTTATGCCGTGTACTACGTGATTGTATGGTAACGTAGCGGGAAACGTTTCAAGTTCGGCTTGTTTTTCACCGCCGGCCGCAGCCGACTTGCAAGACGTCACCACCGCATCGAAAGGTAAGGCAACTGCGGCGAAACGAACAGATTTGGATCCAGCTTTGAATCGGGGAGTGTTGGTGATCAAGCAAGCAATGGTCAATAAAGATTCGTGAAAAAAAAGACAATATTTCAATATTGATTTTATCGGTAACGGGGGGTAGTTGAATGTTGATGCACAAGTACGTAGCTTTAATGTTTTTAATACGAAATGCCCCGAACACTTCTTTAATAGCGCCGCCCGATCGACCCATGGAGAGCAACAATCATACAGGCGGAGAACTGGGCGGAGTATTTGGGTGTAGAGGTGCTACCGAATTTAAAATTTGACACCGAAACCAATTAACACAACAACAAAAGACTACTGGGATCAATGGGACTTGCGATTCCGAATAGGAGAAAGTGACAAGTTTGACTGCGTTTCAAGTAATCTCTCGTTATGTGATAGATTTTTTTGTCACAAAATCAAAGGAATAAACACATGTATTAATTTGTACTCCGTAAAACTTATAAGTACAGTCTGTTCAGAGGAAAGAAAGACTTCCTTCTCGGGGTCCATGTTCTGGAAAGCTGTCCTCAGCGCTGGGCATGCTACGGCCCTCTCTGTGTTCTTCAGCTGTAGGTGTACTTTGCCTGTCGGCGCGCCAAACACCCCACCCACCGACCGGGCGGTAAGATTTCATCAAAGACTACATTAACTCCGCCCCTATCATTGTAGCTTGCCGCACAGTCGAGTAGGAGTACATCTAGCTTCACGTCGTACTGGCTGGTGTAGCCCCGCTACAAAGTAATTTCCTGTGGCATTTATCAATAATTAAAAATATCTGTGATACGAAGTGAAACATGGTTAACAACTTCTGAACCTTTGAAACGACATGGGCATAATCTTTGTTGAAGATTCCTGAGTTGAACTCAAGCCGGAAGTGTATTTATTGGAAATGATGACCATCAGGCGAGGCACAACTGTTATGTTATCACATGTTACGTTACGACGATCAAGAACGTTCACTGCTTGCGGACCATTTCAAATATTACCACTCATAAACCCTACAATTGTATGTGTACTTACGGGAGGTTATAGTTTGCCGGGGTTCCACTGAGATCGGCGCCGGCTAGGTGGGGAACCATCCTGTCGGCATGACAAAGCGCCGGGCGTCATTGCCAGAGACCTACATTTTCTTACCGTGGGTGACTTGACTTCTTCTTTTACCGCAACTTGGTGTCAATATCGACGATAGTCACAGGAAATATGTTCATTTATTGAAGTTTAACTTTATTTCCACTCGTCAATATTCTTATCTAAACATGCTATAGACGATCGATGTTCCAAGCTCCCCGTGCCGGTGTTCCGCTATATTCCTGGGTCGTCCACGGATTTGTCGGCGGAAAACTCTGAAATAAAGTACGCACCGCGACTTTGGCGACGGCCCGAGACACTTCTGGGATTTTGAAACATGTAAAAAGTGCGTACTATATTCGGGAATTTACGGGGTATTTCTTGTAATTCGGTACTACGCCACGCCATATTTTACAAAAGTTTTTCGGTGGCCCTCCCCCCATGCCGATTTTTTTTTCGATGGCCCTCCCCCCGGCTCAATTTTTTTTTCCATGGCCCTCCCCCCAGGCCAAAAATTTTTTCAATGGCCCTCCCCCCCCAGTGCACCAGCCCTCCCCCCCCGGTAAATATCGTACAGTCCCTAACAAGTATGCACATCGTACTAGTTACAGGACAAGGACACATGACTCGAGAAAAATGCATTTTTATAAACTTTTGATGATCATAAGTACTTTCCTTCACCTTGCCATATCTCGCTTGTAGAAAATGGCTGTTACGGTAAAATTCCATTTTGACTAGAATTTTCTCCACACACACGTTACGTAGCATAGAATGGACATTGATTGTACAAAGGAAGAAATAACAGATGAATATCATGACTTCTCAGTGAATACTTTTCATTACAATGAACTAAAAGTCCCCTGTGAGGCTCTAGCCTTTAGGGCCTAGTTCTCATGTCTCTTATCATGTTCCTACTACTGGAAACGGGCCATCTAACGTACACACAGTAAAACAAACCTTATGAAAACGTGTGTAAACTACAATAGCAACTTCAGTGTTCTGGGGGGAGAATAAAATAAAACAAGGCTTAACCTAAATAATGAAGCCCTTTGATGCTAGTTAGCTTTTCAGTCAGCGCCTAAAGGAGAAAACCGTACCGTAGAATAACTTTAAACTGTAGCTGCGTACAACACGATCGAGGTATTTACTAAACATCGTACTGTAACTATGAAAAACGGTTGTTCCACGGAGCTTGGTAGTTCATTGAACAGAACGTTCACAAATTATCATACAACGCAAAATGTTAACCTTAAGACCGTGGACCAATATCTGACGTTAACATTCTTAACAAGCAATAGTCTTTTATTGCTCGTAATCGTATATAGTTCGGATTCATGGTACCATAGCTGGCTTCCCTTTGTAGAAAAATGGTGTAGTCCATGTGGGTATCCATTTAAAAGTCCGGGTCACCCGATCGTCCACTGACGGTCAGGACAGAAACCGGTATTGCATGTTCGACGTTCTGTTTAATAGCTGACATTTGAGCGAGCAGCTGCACTGACATCAAGATGACGTCCAACAAGGTATGGTGCTGCCATGCAGCTCACTCCCTCAGCGTTTCTTTGGGGTTATGGATTTTTATACAGTTAAACAATGTAAATGTACAGCTGTAGTGTTGAGAGGGTGGGGATCCTATGTACAATACGTGCACAGCAGGTTTTTGACCATGGCCGTAACACTGACAACATAATGTTGATATGGGCATTTTGAAAATCAGAATTGCAGGTTGACCATGAAATTTGCTATTTCTCCAAGATTTGCAAATGGTAACCAAAAACTGCAGTGTTTCTAATGTTTCTAATGTTTCTCCCTTTTAATAGGCCTCCGGGCAGGATGGGTGTACGTGACGTTAGTCAGGCATTCAACCTTGTATTTTGCATATTATGCTAACGTTTGATATGACAACACCGTGGCTCTTGTTGGTGACACCCTTGGTAACATTGACGCCATAATATTGGCGAGTGTGGGGATGTTAGTGACAAAATCAGAACGCAGAAACGTATTTTGGGTCATATCACATTCGACATTTGTATGTCTCTTGATAATAACATGTTCTGTCATATCTGTTCTGGGAAGGTGAATGTTCAACTTCACACGTTTTTTCTTGGACATAACGCATTACTCGATTTTTTTACATCAATAGAATGCTAACGTTATATTCTTAGAATGTTCAATTAAGGCATACAAGCTACACACAGTCGCATATTGTGGAAACCAATCATCATATCATGACCATGCCCCAACCCTTTATCCAGAGCATGCATATTTTGTAGTTTGATAATAATATATAACGTTAGTGTTAGCCAACCCATCTTCGACCAATGAATAGTAGTCCCCTTGTGACGTCATGGAAGACGAAATTTCCTCGTCTTCAACAGGAAATGATGATTTGCTAAAAGAGGCCACGATTCATGTTTACTAGTATCCCTTTCCTGTTTTCTTGGAGCAGACGACAATGGTTCAGACCATATGGTAATTTCTGCCTCTTGATTGGTCACAGCTGGAGGCGTGGTCGCAATCAGCTGACCCAGCTCCCTTGCTGATTGGTCAGATTTGGAGGTGTGTCCCCTTCCCTGCTGTGCGGAAACAACAAGAAAACTTGCGTGGTTTAGTCAGCACTTTGGACCGCGTTGCTGGTAGTAGGAACAGTCGCTTTCTCGCAGTTTTAACTCAATTTTCCAACTTCTCTACATTCCAAGGAGACCCGTGGACAGCAGATGGAGACCAACGCGATGACCCTGACCCGCTGGGTGCTGCAGGAGCAGCGCAAGCACCCGGGGGCGACCGGCGATCTCACCCAACTTCTCAACGCGATCTGCACGGCCATCAAGGCCATAAGTACCGCCGTCAGGAAGGCGGGAATCGCCAAACTGTAAGTACAGTGTGACAAATAGAAGGAATATCCACGGCCACGACCTTGTAGTAGAAGTTTTACTCTATCACAATGTACACGCACTCCTGCATGGCTCAAACTTTGCGGAAGACGTTACGTGGCACGATAACAGTTGCTGTTTTGCCAAATCATCGTGTTTGTACAGAACTTACAGCCCGCCATTTTTTCTTCAGAGGTGTTGCCGTTTCCTTGAATATATAACTTCTATTTCACAACATACGTAATGTCGATTGCATAAATTTATGAATCGAAATTAAATTTGTCCAGATGCAGTCACAGACAACTAAAACAGACATCAGAAACCCGATCTCCCTCCAGATTAGCTGAACGTTAATTAAAAACCGGTCTTTTTGCTGCATGCTGGCAACGTCATGTTACCTTTGAACACAAGGAAGTACAATGTACATTCATTAATCCCCCGCCCCTTGCCCCTCCCCAGTCCCTAGTGTTCGAGTGTAGGTTCCGGTACAAACCGCCAGGATTGTTACGTGCAGGTGGTAACGTTTAGCCGTACCTGATACCTGCACCTGATATCCACCTGACCATATCAGGTATTGACCTTTGGTCTTGCCCATGTTGGTTTACCCCTTGTGGGATTTTTTTCTCAGGGGTCATTGACCTACTGTGGTACCAAGAAGGTTATCTTTCTATAACCTTAGTGGTACCAAGCTTATTCTGTGCCTGTACTAGTACAAAGTGGTAAACCATAAGCATTAACATGTAGTCCATTGCCAAAACTTCTTCTTCTTCCTGAGTGAAGTGATGAGTGAAGTAACAACTATCCCAGAAGTCACCATTGTTACATTTGAAGTCATGCCTTTCCCAAGGGCATAAGACCGGTGACATGGCAGGATTCAAACCTGGGACTTCTTGGTTCTGAACTGAATGCTCTTTTTGTTCTAAAGCACTCCATGGATACGAAAATCATCACCACCTGTTATGGTTATAACATTGTGCCAGTTATTGAATATGACTCTACTGTTGGAACCAAACAATACATTTGCGGTAGAGAAGTGACCGTGAAAACTGGCAAACATTAAGTACCGCGAAAAAATTGTGAATTACTGTAAATAACATTATTCTCCTCCCAGGTATGGCATCTCCGGTGACATCAACGTGACAGGAGACGAGCAGAAGAAACTGGACGTCCTGTCCGATGACCTGTTTGTCAACATGATGAAGGCATCCTTTATGACCTGTGTGCTGGTCACAGAGGAGCGGCCTAATGCCATAATTGTGGAAGCAGAGAATCGGGGCAAATACATCGTCTGCTTCGATCCGCTGGATGGGTCGTCCAACATCGACTGTCTGGGCTCCATAGGATCCATCTTTGCCATCTACAGAAAGGTGTGTTCAGCGCCAATTATGACGTCTGTTACTGCTGTAAATCACTTATGTGCATGGTAGCAAAAGTTTGTTGTCTGAGAAAAATGGACATGTTCACGGAACTATTCTTTTGTGGTGCAAAATAAGTTGTACCAGACCAAAATGCACCACTCATTTAGGGAAGTATGGATCATACTAAAATCTGTTCAGAAACCAAGTTGCCATTATTTCTTTTATACTAGTTATATACTTGATATACGTAGATGAGACCTCGGTAACAGTCAAGTAAAAACTATACACTTTCATGTATGTATGTACCCAGTACATGGCCCACTGCAGGTAAGGTGCAAGTAGACATCAGAAATACCGGTACCTGAATCTTACCTGCACTAATCTGCATATGCAGGTGGCATTTTAAGCCCTGACTTTAGCCCTGAATTCAACTTGTTTTGCTTGCAAACCAATTTTACTCTCCAACTTTACTTGTAATGCTTGTTTCGTGTACAAATCTTGAGTGAGAATGTCTTTTTTTTTCATGTTACTTCATGTAGTTGATGATATCTATCCTGCTGGCATCTGCTGTATAATATTTACTTGTTGAACTTAAACTTTCCATCCTTTCTTCACCCGTAGGACACAGAAGGTGAACCCACGGTGCAAGATGCTCTCCAGCCCGGGAACAGGATTGTAGCGTCAGGGTACGCCCTGTACGGCAGCGCCACCATGATCGTCCTGGCCATCGGACATAACAGCGGCGTTCACGGCTTCATGTTGGATCCGGTACGCATTTTTGCTTTCACTTGTACTAGTGAGAAAGACTGTATGTAGATTCTATAGTATATTTCATACATGATTTCTAACTGTAATTCACTTTATGTTCGTGGTAGCAAAGTTTTTTGCGGTCTGAGAAAAATGGACATATTTGCAGAACTAACTGCACTGTATACATGTTCATGGTGGCAGCAGGTGCAGAAAAAAAAAGTCTGTGACTTAGTTGTTCCCAGCAATGATAAGTTCAAGTGACTGTGAAAACCCCAAACATAAAAGTACTGTGAATTACAGTATATTTTGCTGCTATACAAACAAAGCAGACAAAGAAATTAAGGTATGTGTACTTATGTGTATTTATTCAATGTGAATGTGTTTTTAATAAACTGTTAATTCAAATCTCCTGTTACTTTTTTTCCAGACCATAGAAAGTTTTCCAAAATGACATGAGTTATATAATACTGCAAAAATTTAAGATACATGTACCTACAGAGTGTCCACCAGAAAATACCAATATGTTTCACTGTTTGTTTCTCCTATGCATACATGTATACAGGCAATTGGAGAGTTCATTCTGTCTGAACCCAACATCCGTATCAAACCTCGGTATGAGATCTACAGCATCAACGAGGGCTACACACAGTACTGGGACGAGGCAATCAAGGAGTACGTGCAGAAGAAGAAGTTTCCAGAGGTCGGCAATCTGTACATATCAGCTACTAATGATAATTAATGATAATTAATGATAATAAAACCCAAGCCAGTTAAATTGTGTGTTAGCTTGTCTTGTTCGCTACATGCACATTACTCTGTTCTACACCTAGGATATAGTCGCAGTCCCAACTAGGATATAGTTGCAGCCCTATGACATAGCCTCTACCAGGCATCCAGAAGTGACTGAAAAAGAGTAGAAATTGGCCAAATAGACAGTCAGATAACATGCCAGGGGAGTTGGTCCGCTGAAGGGTACAGTTACCGCTCAAAACTGTATAGCCACTATCCGAAGCCTATAAATGAAATTATCATATGATAGCGATGATGATTATTCTTGAAATAAATTTCAGTGATTGAAGTTTATTGTATTGTTCAAAGTTGTCAGTAATAAATAATATAGTACATATATTGAAATTATTGGTTTCCTCTCACCTCAGGCTGGGAAGCCTTATGGATCCCGTTACATCGGATCCATGGTGGCGGATGTACACCGGACACTTGTCTACGGAGGAATCTTCATGTACCCTGCACACAAGAAGGCACCAAAGGGCAAGGTAAAGATTATCTATAGAGTCTCAACTACACTGTTAATGTGTTATATGTTATAAGTATTGTTGTTTTAAATTAACCTCTTGGACCTCAGTGTCTGGCTTGTTACAGGTTACTAGAAAAAAAACACTATGTTTCACAAATATACAGTCAGTACTCTTATTTTAAGTTTTTTTATCTGACAAAAGCAGATCAATATCAAAAACATACTAGATGAAAGCCTTTATCAGGAGGATTAACAGAAGTAATTCCTTCATGTTGGTGTCAACATTTGAGGACAATAAGAAAAGAAAAATCAGCCGCCGTGTATACATGTACGTGTAAATACAATGAGATTTTCTTTGTTTTCGCAGCTCCGTCTGATGTATGAATGCAACCCCATGGCATTCATCATAGAGCAGGCAGGGGGCCTCGCTACAACAGGTGAGTGACTCAGACTTGAAGTTGACAATAAAATGATATAAAAATACAAAAGGAAAGTTCTGCAATTTATAGATGTCAACAATCTTTTGTCTATTGCATTCATCTTGATAATATTCATGTACATACATATGACATATATATAACATATATATTTGTACACCCTGTGCTCTGTGTAGGGGAGGGGCGTATTCTGGACGTGGTTCCCACCGACATCCACCAGCGCTGCCCCGTGTTCCTGGGCTCACCCGAGGACGTCAAGGAACTTCTACAGATCATGGAGAAGCACAAGAAGTGAGGAGGTCACTGCTACTACATGGGAACATCTAAAGATGTGTTGTTGTCAAGCAGAGATTATCATAAACTAGGCCCTATGGAGCAAGTACATTCAAGTGGAAAGGACAAAATCTACTTTCAGAACACCTTTTTTTCTCAAAAAGAATACTGCACATGAGTACTGAAGATGTGAGGCATGGCATTTACTGAAGTTAACTACATGTATATGAAATTGAAGGGATAAAGTGTGAAATAAACTTTTATCTTAAACAGTTGATGGAATAAAATATATTTTTTGTCATCTTCTTCACTGTAATTCTACTGTAATCCAACCTCAAGATAGTTACCTCCATGTACATGTTGATTTTTTTGGTCTTTGCTGTTGTGTAACTTGAAGTTTGGATTTCCTTCTTTGTACTTTCATTTTGGTAAGCTTTTACTAACTTTCCTGAGCAAAGACTTAAAGAAGCTTCCTCACAATGTGATGTGACGTAATGCATTTGCTTACCTTTTTGAAAACAAGGAGAAGGCGGGAGTAAGTTGCCTTGGTCCCAGGAAGCCGCCCAACATGATGGTGATTAAAAACCAAGCTCATGACATTTGGTGTAAGGGATGACGTGCTTTACATGCTATACTGTGCCTCATTTATTAGTTAAGACACTAAGTGGAATAGGGTCCTAATGGAAAACCTGTGTGGACTGTGACTATAGAAGGCATGCATTCCATTCTGAGGTAGTGCTAAGTTGATGTACTGCTGCTGTAGTGAATTGTGCAGAATGTTAGGATCATAGATGTTAGAGGGGAGGGTGAGCCTAGTAGATTTTAGGCAAATGGTGATCACCGTAACAGTTGTTCAAGCCTTATTATTAAGATGTAAATCACTGACTGATTGTACATGTTTGCAGTTATGTGAGAGGGAGAGGTTAACAAGAGTATTGCTCCTATTTTTGCTTCCAATGGGTGTTGGAAAACAAATAAAAGTAGTTTGTAAAAGAGCCATGAATGTGACATGTTGTACATGTATTGTGAACAGTTTTCTTCTACTTTGGTATTGTATACTCTATCACATTTTTTGTCTTTTAATACAGGTGTAAAGAGCTCATTGTATAGGATAAAAATCTGTCCACAAAGTTACCGATAAACATACAGGGTTTCATAGAATGAAAAATGATTTATTTTCAAAAAGATGGTGCATAATATACATATTAGAAATACACTATTAATGGTGCGACAATTGCATAGTGCTCTTGTTTAAAATATGTGCAACATTAAGTGCATTCCATAAAAACACTTCATAAAAGCTACATTTATCTATCATTTACATCTAAATTTAATCTGGAACTGCTATATGCACAATGTTCTCCACAAATTTTGCACTGATTGTCATTAAGTTGGTAAATACCACACACAATAACTACATATTAATATAAACATATCCTGTTGAGTACAAAGTGTGCGGCAATCACCATCTACATGTACCAAATTCATTTTGTTCCTTAAGAGTCATAAATGTATGTTGTATTTATAAAAAAAAACATCAGAAATATGTACAGACTTTTGATACCAGAAAGGTTTACAGATTGCACCCCAAATCTCACAAGATTTGCTCATAGTTTGCTGTTAAAAGATTTTTTAGCTTTTAAAAAAGCTAAAAAAATCAATCAGATATCTTTCTAGGTGGTACAAGCTAGTTGAAATATTGACCCACCATATCATAACTATGTAGACTTGGAAATGTAATGGAAAAGGCACTGGAAATTCAGCTGTTGGTAACCGTAAAGTTATGTTGGTCCAGTTTGTTATACCAGTAATTGAGAACAATCTCTAACCCATTTTTTATCACTCTTTCAAAAGTCTTAAAATAAAGCAAACTGCATCTGATTCAGTGTTATCAAGCAGCTCCTAAGTACAGAGTCACACTGTACTGTAACCTTCTCCCTGTTGAGGCTTTCTGTATTACTCAAATCTATAATATCATTACAGTACAAGGCAACAGGGTGAAAGTTTTAAAAAGGAGCCTCAGGGTACAAACAATTTCTCATTTCCATGGCAACTTTTGAATTCCCACCACCATATGAGTTTTATCCATTACAAATTGCCCTTTTAAATCATGTTGGTTTGTAGATTGATACTTGGAACAAATAGATAATACGTGAGAAACATTTTTCTTTTTTTAGTATCACAGGAGGTAGTTCAGTCCATGGTCCAGAACTTAAAATCAAAGCATCAATATAAAACCTGGCTCTATTTATATATGTACTAGATTATTGAGAATATCAAAATGTTGCTCAATGATCCTAGAGAAGAAGAAAGAATTTTGCCATTATTAATCTACACTGAAATCAAGCTTGCCATTTACATTTGTAGCTCTGTTTGCTACCGATTGCTACAGAATCCACTACTGGGACATATTCATGCACTCACTCATATACAAATACAAAAATATGCATAGTTGTTAGATTCAAAAACTACTCCTTCACCACAGACCCACACCATATATATGAGATGGTCTGTAGATACAGTCAAACTTGTCTAAGACAACCACCCACGGGACAGAGGAAAAGAGATCTTTGACAAGTAGTCTTCTTATATAAAAGCAGGCGACATGCCAAAACAGGAAAACTGCAGAAAAATTTCCACCCATTTTACAATAGAAGTGCCATATGCCCCGCCGGTGCCATTTTATTGCACAAAGACTCGTGGTTTCCAAGTCAATGGCAAACTGGCCGATTCCATCATGATTTCTCACTATAGTTATCATCAAAACATTCTCCACCACACGCTTGAAAATGACACGGTTGTCACAGGCAGAGATTGGGCCATGTGCCAGTTGCGGTCAATTTGGACGCGTGGTCAGCTTAAGTAAGTCCCTTAAAGATTGCATCTATGGGAACAAAAATCGGGACCAAGAAAAAGCAGTCGTTATGGCCAGATGGCCGGCTTATAGACTGAGGCAGTCGCTTGGGCAAGTTTGACTGTAATGGTCAACAGCCATCAGAGACTGAGTAGTTGACTGCTGCAGTCTGTGGATCTGACTCTGACTTGTGGAATGTTTTTGTCATGATCAGTCTTCCTCATCCACGTTCTCTCCTGCCTTCAGTTTGGCTATTATCTGTGAACAACAAAACACGGTACAGCATAATAATACAATCCTGTTCCTAGATCATAGTTTTAGAGTGGAGGGTTCCAGACTTTTCAAGTCATTACTCGAAATTCATTTTTGGGAATAGGTGCACTGGTCCACCCATCCTAAAAAATTGGGTGCACAAAAAGATTTTTGGGATGCACCATATAAAATAAAAAATTAGAAAATGGGAGCTAAGTTCAAACTCTTACACAAGTAAGTTACAACAAAGATTTTACTGTTTTTCTGACACTTAGATGCCAGGAATATCCTGTATACTATACAGTAATTAAAATATACATTTGATATGTAAAATATTTGGGTGCACCCACAGAAAACAATTGGGTACAAAGCTCCAATTTTGGGTGCACCACCCAGTATTTCGAGCCCTGCAAGTCCAGCCCTTCATAGGTATATATTACACATTGTCAGTTGTCAGACCAGCACATTTGACTAACTGTTGACGTCAAATGTCCATAAAGTCATGTGTCAGAATAAGGTCACGTGTCTGTAACTCTTGCAGATTCATGTTCAGAAGTGATTGGTCGTTAGTTATCCTGATGAAGAGGACAGTGGTCGTTTGATCATTTGGAATAAAGTTTTGCATTGTACTATGATTACTATCAACACGGATGAGCTTCCATGATAGGTACATGTAGACAACCACATGTATTACACAAATCAAGACCCAACGTAAGACAAAAAAGTGACGAATATCCATAAGTTGTTGTAGGTTACAAACTTAACAATAGAAAAGCACCCATTTGGCAAATGAACTTAAAAAAAACAACAGAATGACACATACCCCCTTAAGTCTGGTGATCTCCTTGTTATCTGCATTCTTTTGAGCATCGTTTGTGATCAGTTTCACACGAGAGGCATATCTGAAATAAAAAAAAAATTGAATGTCTTAATATTAGAGAATCACACAGCAACATTTTAATAGTATTCATAAGTCACTCTAAAAAAAACAGACGAGCAAGAAGAAAGACAACATTGACAGAAGTTACAAAGTTAACATAATGGTAACTAGAAATGCAAATGCGTAACGTTTACCTTTGCACATGGTCTGCTCTTTTAATTTTTACTCGTCAAAAACATTCATACATGTATAATATGGTCAGACAGGAGTATAAATCCCTCCTACTATAAAATTGCAACATGATGTAAACGAACACTAGCTACCATGGTAACAGTCTGGTTCGGGTCATTGATCTTTTTGGTTTGGAAAAGAAGACGAACCGTAGCAAAAACAAATTTGGTAAACGTAATAATCCTTCTGATAAGAGTTTTCTGGCTTCTTTAGACAGGCTACTCACGTGAGGGAGATGACGGTCTCCTCTGCGTTGTAATCGGCTGGTGAGATGTTGACAAACATGAGAGTCTTGGCGTTGCCTCCGAGCGAGTCCTGCATGAGCATGGTGAGCTTGTTGTTCCTGTACGGGATGAAGGACTGCTCGCTGGACAGGGCAGAGATCACATCTCCCAGAGCACTCAGCGACTTGTTGATGGAGTTGGCCTCCTTCAGCTGCTCTGCCGTCGCACCCGTCTTTGCCACTCTTTCACTACCAGCCAAATCCACCAAGCTCAGCTGTTGATGATAGGCAGAATGCATGACATAATTATATAACAGCCCCCATACAGTGCTTTCTAGTGACAAGTATTTGCAAAGCCCCCATGTAGTGCTTTACAGTATTAGGTGTTTTCAAAACCCCCATGTAGTACTCAAAACCCCCATACAGTGCTTGTCAGTAAAAGCATTCTCAAATTCCCCAAACAGTGCTTTCAACACCTTGTATCTGCTTGAAGATTACCTACCACACCACCCCATAAGTAAACTGTTGTTATTCTACATGATTGTACACGTACATGTAGTAGTTACTCTCTTTCTTTCAAATCTGTAGGTCAAAATGTGTTCACACCCTACCTTTCCTTTTGTCATAGTTCCAGTTGTTATGTTGGTACTTTCTATGATGATGCCGATGATGAGATGGGAACGGGAACTGTCGGCATTCATTTCTGAAAACCATTAACATACAGACTTACATGACACAATCAAGTGCTTCCAAACCATTTTCATTTCCTCAAAAGAAAACAAAACTATCATCATTATCATGATAACCATAAAAATCACCAGTTAAAGAAAGTGTAATCACACTTCATACTATGCAAATTGTGTACCAACACAAAACTGTACAGTTGTGATATTCATTGAAAAGGGTACATTGTAACTTGAAAGTAATAATGTCAAACAGGATACAGAGAACTACATTCTGATTGGTACTTTAACATATTCTGAAAAAGAAGAAGACAGACTCACTTGTAGAAGACGTGTGCCTGTTCTTTGAGCCTTCGTCAAACAAAGCAAACAGCTCCTTTGAGGTCGTGGCCTTCTTAATGACAGAACCTTGAATGACAACCATCCCCTTCTTGTCCTTCTTGATATCTAACTTTCCCTGGAAAGAAGAATTACCAGTAAGATTTTCCTCTGAATGCTTTGTGACGAAAGCAAAATGACACATTTTTAGTGTACAGCTGATATCAACAAAGGAAAAGATTGATAATATGAAAAAAGTTTTCAAACCCAATTCCAAGGATACACATTCAAGTGATTGTAATTATAATTAATTGAAGGCTGTATATAGTACAGCGTGGGTTCCAGGCTCGCGACCTGCCATCCACCATAAACAAATTCACGCGAAGGCGTTTCATGATGATAGTACATTGTATCTGTCGGACTGTTACATGAACAAGTACACACAACCAATCACTTTCAGACTTCTAGGCTGAATGAAATTTCCTACATCTGAAACTGTTACATTTCCCATTCAATTGACAAACATGCACATTCTTCAAAATTAACTGTGTTTTAGATTGATTGGTGACATTAATGTACAAATGTGTGTGTAGATGGGCGCCAACATAAGCAACCATGCCAATGGTTGCGGGAAGGGTTTAAATTTTAACTTGTGTTATTGCCTCTTTAGTTTGTGTTCTTACCTCTCCATGATGGTTGAAGAGGTCGATCAGTTTGTCAACATACAGCTCCAACATGTATACAAACACCTCACAACTGAACTTGGACCTGACAGCAAAAGACACAACAATACACATCAGATTGGATGTACAACGATTGAATTACTGAAAAACATTTGAATTGTCTAGAATTGATACAATTATACTAGAAAGGTAACAAAGGAATAATGTTTACCTTCACATGGTCTAGCCTAACAAATTACTTCTCTGTTTACTCTCACTCAAACACATCATTGTTCATTCATATATAAGGTGACACAAGTCCACCTCTGTCCTGCAACTTGCAACATAATGTAATCCAACACCAGAGGGTGTCTGCTACAGCACCAGTTACCATGGTGACAGACGTCTGGTCAAGTTCATTCACTTCATGTGTTTGGAACAGAAGAAACTGAGCAAAAATTCTGTGAAGGTAAAGTTAACATAGATATATGACTGTACAGATACATGTAAGTCCTTTGAGAGCAACATGCAGTGACTTACTTGTTTTCTTCGATAAGCTCAAAGATCCTGTCGAAGGCCCTAGGCGCTATCCCCGGGAACCGCTGGTCCTTGTCACCGATCATGGTGAAGGTTTTACCAGACCCAGTCTGGCCGTAGGCAAAGATGCAGACGTTGTACCCATCCACAGCTGACTGGATCAGGTTCTGTCAGAGACGGCACAATTATTACACTTATGTACATCATGTACAAGTCATCATGTTACTGATCTTTTAAACTGACTGTTTAACAGCATTGCACAATCATCGAGTTTAGACAGTCAAGCCAGCACCGAAGGAAAAATTTCTAAGCCAATCCGTCAACCTCGAAGGCGAAATTGACAAAATTCTTTGCAAAAAGCATCCAATGACCACTCTCAATCCCAAGATTTGCCTCTTGAAATGTGGGAAATGTGGGAAAGGCTTGAAAATCCAAAATTTTCCTTCAGATCTCCCTAGATTTTAGAGTATTCTCCCCCCAGGTCTGATCATGAACCTTCGGCTCACGGAAGAAAAATTTGAGCTGGCTAGAGCTCTGAGTTAAGACCTGCAGCTGTAAAACTTTACTAAAAGCCACCTAGAAAGGTACATTGTATAGTCCTCCTCTTTCAACCTTCAGTTCTCAAGCTTACAAGTTAAAAAGCATTACATTTTATTTGGGGCATAAAAACAACTGGCAAGCACTCAGTTACTTCCTCCAAGTGACTAGAACTTTGTGGGTACCAAACTTACATTGGTGTCCTCAAATATCTTCTCCTGGCTGTGCTCCTCACCGAAGATGGAGTCAAACTGGAACTCCTTGGTGCCCCTGTTGCTGTCCACCTGGATGGTGTACTCATCAGGGGACCTGATGATCTTCACATTACCCTGCAAGTACACACAACATGCTGTCAATCTTTGTGTATACTGGAGTCAATTGTAAAGAACATCCCAGTACTCAAATTTTTCTTATCATCCGTGCCATAGAAGTGGGGGAGTCAATTGTAAAGAACATCCCAGTACTCAAATTTTTCTTATCATCCGTGCCATAGAAGTGGGGGAGTCAATTGTAAAGAACATCCCAGTACTTAAATTTTTCTTATCATCCGTGCCATAGAAGTGGGGGAGTCAATTGTAAAGAACATCCCAGTACTTAAATTTTTCTTATCATCCGTGCCATAGAAGTAGGGGAGTAAAGGGATGGACAAACAAACAAACAGTGTTGTCCTCACCCTCTCCAGTTCGGAGCCGCTGAGAGGTCGTGACCTGCAGTACACACGGATCTTCCCCTTCATGTCCTCCACCATGTTGTAATACTTCTTCCTCAGAACCTGCAACAACATCAAGAACCTCCTATTCCACATCCAGATACATGTATCTGCTACATAATGTAACCCAACACCTCAGGCTGTCTGCTACAGCACCAGTTACTGTGGCGACAGATGTCTGGTCCAGGTCATTGACTTTATTTGTTTGAAGAAGAAGAAAAGGAAAAGAAGTGGAACAAAAACAGAATGTTTTCCTTCTGCAAAGGTAAACAAACATATTTAATTCTATCATTTTTTCTGGCACGGTAGAAGTTATGACATTTTAAAAAAAAGTGATATAGGACTTGTCCTGTCTCAACGGAGGCACACAACCTACCCTCTCACTGTTGTAGTTCTCAGTCAGTGTCTTGTTCTCAGCAGCCAGTTTCCTCACCTCCTCCGGCTGTCATGGTAGCAGTTATTTCAGTTTTTTAAAGTGATATTATTTTTACTAGTTGGACTTGTCCTGTCTCAATTGAGGCAGTATACTACACTCACTGTTGTAGTTCTCAGTTAGCGTCTTGTTCTCTGGTTCTTCACTGAGTCCTAGCCTCCTGCTTTTTAAAAGCAGGGCTGTAGCCAGCTCAAATTTGTTCCATTAGTCCAGATCTATGATTGACCTGCGGGGAGAGTGCTTGCAAACTAGGGAGTCCAGAGACAAATTTTGTATAATTCCAAGCCTCTAAAAATGTAACATCCCACATTTTGAGATCAAAATCATGGAGTTGTGCAAGGTTGATGGATTGGTTAAAATGCCACAAAGTTGCTGCAATTGATGAAAAAACGGGTGCTGGCTAGAGCCCTGTTTAAAAGTGATATAGGACTTGTCCTGTCAGAACCGAGGCAGTACACTACACTTGAACCTACCCTCTCACTGTTGTAGTTCTCAGTCAGCGTCTTGTTCTCCGCCGTGAGTTTCTTCACCTCCTTCTCCAGCCCCTCCGCCTTCTCCATGGCCTCCAGACCCTGCTTGGCTGCCACGCCCAGGTTATCCAGCTCTGCCTCCTTCTTCTTAAGGTCAGCCTGTAGACCATCTCGCTCCTACAGATACAGATGAAAAATTCATATTCAGCACCAGGGACAGTGATGGTAAAGTGGACGATATTCAGGAACAGGGACAGTGACAGTAGAGTGGATGGTATTCAGCACCAGGGACAGGGACAGTGATGGCAGAGTGGACAGTATTCAGCACCAAGGACAGGGACAGTGATGGTAGAATGGACAGTATTCAGCACCAAGGACAGGGACAGTGATGGTAGAGGGGACAGTATTCAGCACCAGGGACAGGGACAGTGATGGTAGAGTGGACAGTATTCAGCACCAAGGACAGGGACAATGATGGTAGAGTGGACAGTATTCAGCATTAGCAGTGTTCTAGCCAGCCTGATATTTTTGTTCTGTCATGATTTCAATTTTTTTTACACAACATCAGGACTGGTTGAGTGTTGAAGGCACAATAAGGGGGATTCTTGGAAAAATGTTGAAATCCTGACCTTTTAAAACACCATTTCCTGCATTTTGAGGGACAAATGTTGCTGGTAGACTTTTAAGACATTAAACTAAGAGTAAAAGCTTACTTTATACTTACTTACTTTACTCTTTCCATGTCTTCATGTACCAATTTTTGTCAATTCACTAAAAAAGGAAGGTAGCTAGAATACTGCCATGCAGAATGCCACTTTT